GTTCCCAGGACCCTTGAATCGTGACCTGAGCCGAAGGCAGAAGCTTAGCCAAATCACCCAAAGATTTAGATGGAGCTCATGCCTGCCCCAGTGAAGTCAGGAGGAAACATCCAATCAGACATCCTGTCCTGGCTCTTCCAGCTCTTAAATCATTCACGAATCATGGATCTTCCTCTCCAGTCCTCCCCGCGCCCCTGGCCTGGTCCAAGTCTGAATCAACTCTTTTCCGGACTGCTGTCACAACTCCCCAAGTAGCCTCCAGACTTGGCATTACTGACTCAGTCTCCACTCAGAACCAAACCTAAATTACATCACATGCATGAACATGGAACCCCCAGCCAGTGCAAAAGAGAAATTTAATCTTGCCAGATCCCACTTCCAAACTTCCAGATGTGCCCAGAGGTGAAGGGTTAACTTCCACGTGGCCCACAGGCTCCTTCACAAATCAGCGCCAACCTGTCCTGCAGCTCATTTCCCTTCTATCACTATGCTCCTACAATGGCTCTCCCCAACCCCCCTCGTTATAGAGCTCATTCCGGAAGTCTCAGCCTAAATGAATCTTTCAACACTTCGAGGCTTCCGAATCTGGGCTCCAATAACTCTCTGTTAACAGCTTACCTGATTCCCCCATCATTATTTGTTCTCTTTTTCTTAAAGGAGACAAAGAGCCCCTTAAAGGGAGAACTGTATCTTCAGATTCTCCTCTACCACTCTCTAATTTAGGCCAAGCATGATGTCTGTCCCATAGGAGACGATCAATAAATATTCGTTGAAAGACTTAGAGTTCCGTTAATGACTCCAATGATGATGCCAACTGAATTTGCCCATTTGAAACCCGAACTTCCTCTTCTCTCCCCTAGTCAATAGTCAATGCAGTTCGAAATATCTGGGAAGATGCCTCACTTCGCCACTTCCTTTTGCCCGCCTCGCGGAGGCTCAGAGGCAGGTGCCTTCAGAAGGAAAGTCTGGGATAATGGCAAGTGATGCAGACTTCAGCCTGACAACTGCTGATCTTTTTGCTTCAGCTGATTTCCCCCTTTGCAAACGGTTATTGGCAATTGAAACCGCAAATCTACTATCTGCTCCCCTATGTAAATTGCATTTACATTTAAATTGTGCATTCTTCCAAAGGAAGGGGTTGGTAAATAACAGCAGATTAAACTTGAGGAGAGGAAATTGTGCCCCACGTCAAACCTGAGACCGAAGGGACATCTGGCTTTTACTATTTCCGTTATTTCGGCTTAATAACAGCATGTGGCATTAAGGGAAAAGAAATTGGATCTACATTTTAATGAAAAGAGGAAGCTCTCAGGGTTTAGATACCTTATCATGTTGAATACCTTCTCGATTGGCAATTAAAACCTGCTTGCCTCAAGAAATGGAATAAAATATCTTTGCAACCATGGAGGGAATAAGAAACAAAAACTAAACGAGGGCCCAGGACTGCACAGATGAAACCGAGGGAAAGGGGAGCTGCAAACATCAAAATCAAGTATTTCCGGGTCCTGCAGAGTATAGGAATTCTTAAACAGAGTAATGCTGGGAACAGAATCCTAGATAGGCTGGTGGGATCTTCCGGAAAATAATTTCAGACGGAATAGTTTGCACATAATCGGAGGCTCAACCCAGTCAGAGGGTCTGATAGAATCCTTTGTCAGCCTAGTTCCTTTAAACCGCAGAGGTCTCAGAAAATATTCTAGAAATGCCTGTTTCATCCTAATAGTCTGTTTAAATGCAAGCAGTTCCACCTGCTGGCTGCTTTTTTGTTGAAAGCAATTCTGGGAAATGTAAACAAAATGCTTATGCATCCTAATAACCCAAGCCTATCATTTATTTGCTTTCATTGAAACAAATGTGTCAATTTTCCAAGTCTTTGTTTGGGGAATCCAATGTTTGGATGTTGGCAAATGTTTGCCTTACATGTTTGTTTGGAAACTGATGCTCTATTCAGAAACTCTGGAGCTGTAGCCCTTGAAACCACAGCCTGGAATCAGTCAATGAGCCTCCTGACGATACACAGAAAGATGTTTAATCTTTTCCCAGAATCCGGGTGGCGTTGAAATGGTCGAGTCCCATGGACAAGTGTGAATGGGATGGGGCCTTCTAGGAAGAAACTACACGTGGAGGCTCTGAGGATATGGCTCACGAATAATTAGAATAATGGGAAACATGTATATAGTGCTTACTAAGTACCAAGCATTTCATGTGTATTATATTGCCACCGAGTAACAGCCCTGTAAGGTAGGTACTATTGTCATCCCCATTACAGAGGAGGAAAAGGAGACACAGGTTAGTAACTTACCTTCCTGATGTCACCCAGCTGCTAAGAAATAGAGCTAGGATGGCCTCCAAGCGGGCTGGCTCACTGTCTGTCCCCTTAACCCTTTCAGGTGACTCCCTCCTATCCCCGGCATTTAATGAAGGCAAGGTGTTCTCCCATATTTAGGTTTTGTCTTGCATAACTGTTTCTAAATTCTCAGCCGTTCTTTTTATAAAAGACTCAAGCTGATCACCTAAAGGATCTTCTTATTCTTAAACGAGCAATTCCTTGACAAGTTAATATAGCTATCTTCTCTTTTCTCACTTCTGCCTAGAGTCCAAGGCCAAATTACCCGCCTACCACTGTGTTGGGTCCATGGTCAAAGGAGTGAGACTGATACAAAGCGAAGGTCAAGCAAAGCTTTATTTTGCGCCAAGCATCAAGAATCAAACTGACCGGCCAGGGCCATCTCTTGCAAAGAGGCAACCCCTCCCAGCCTCACAGACTAACTTTTATAGAGTAAAGGCCATGTGGTCGAGCCTGGCCACACACAGGTGGCCAACTGAATTACAATTCACCCTATAGTAGTTATTTGAACTAGCCTATCACTCTGGTCAGAATTAGCACCCAAAAGGCAGGGCCCACATTCTTGGGTAGTTAGGGAGGTGCTTTCCTGATTGGATGTCTCCACCTGGCTTGGCTCATCCTTGTATTCTGGGCTCTGTTACCTCCCTCTGACCTGACACATCCTGGTATATGGGCTCTGTTATCAGGGGCTGGTCAGTCATATTTTACTGGTTCCCCAGACTTGTTTCTAAGTAAGTTCCTCTGGGTGGGGGGGGCAGGGTCAATCTAAGTTTACTGCATAAACAACAAAATGGCTCGCTCTGGCTAAGCAGGCCCTTACACACTGTGGGTCTTTTGAAGATGGCCGAGACCCTTGAGTTTGTTTGATTTTTCCTTTATCTTCCCAGTTTCCTGGCACTGTTTGGTTGGGTAGCAGGTCTTTCCCCTCACTTCCTGTGCATAAATGATAACTTCTCTGCATCCCTTGACATTTTATCATGGCAGACTGCCTCTAAAGTCAACCAGTGTCTCCTTCCGTCTGAACTCAGGTTAAATTAATCATCTGGCTTTCACATCAGTCTGTTGCTATGGGGTTTACTGATGTCACACTGTCAGGATTATGATTACCGTAATATCTAATAGGCAAAGAGGCACCGGTTGTTACTAGAAACCCTTGGGTGAAAGTCCCCCAGCTTTAGTAACCAACCCAACTGCATAGACTTTAGACAACCATGTAAAGGGGTAAGTGGATTAATCATCCCATTGGATTCCATTTGAATCTTTTTCTTCCGTATGTGTGTTCCCTCTAGGCAATTGCCTAGTGTCACTTGAAATTGATGAGGGTTCTTTTTGGAGGTTATTTTGAGGAAGGCGGCAAAACAACAGACAGCTGTTCTCAAGAACAAATGTCATGGGGCGTGCCCAAGCTAGCTTCTAATGATAATAAGAATAATTTAAAAAAAAATCTGAGGTGTATTGTCCTTTTCCTTTCTATATTAGGTTGTTTCCTAAGGACCAAAAATGTTAATTCAGCTTCCCCAACACATAGAAAAGAAGGGAACTTCCATTTACTAAGCCCCTACTGTGCGCCAGAATGTGACTGTGGTGCAAGTGCAGCTTTAAAGAGGAGAACTGTAAAGGGAGGCGTTCTCCAACAACCCTGTTATACATGACTACTCACAGCTTCTTCTAGCTTGTATACCACGTACTTCCTAATTGGACATTGACTGATCACCAATAAAGGCAAAGTCATTACTTAAAATTGGTCCAGACCCTCTTACACTGAGTGATCGTCTTGCAGTGGTTTTCACAGCAATATTAAAAAACCTGGAAACATAATAGAAGTGAGGTACAACACAGACACTTCTGTATTACAGATCTCCGTTGAAAGGTGTGACAAACAGGTCTTTTCCAAGACTTTGTTAAGTAGGTGGAGGGGTCCTTTTGGGGGGATACATTTATCTGGTGCATAGATCTGATGGAACTTGAGGCTGGTGTAGGACGGGTAAGCCAATCATGACTGCTGTAAGCTTATATAAATCAATTTATGTGCCAGAGAATGAATAGCTGAATTTTTTTTTCCAAATGCCAATTCAGCAATTACAAAGTCTGCTGGCGGTTAATTAAAAACTACCATCTCTTTATGTTCAGAGTTAAATTACAAGTGTGAAAACTACTAGTGTTTGCAGTAACTGAATGCTCTTGACTCTCTGTACTCTCATCAAAAGGAGGGCAGGGATAAATAACTTTTATTTAACTCACTAGAAAATCTCTCTCAGCTCTTTCATATTTAATTAACTTCTTATCTTCTCGGAGCCCGAGTCTTACTCAGAGTTCCTAAGCTGTCATAGAAGTATTTGTTCCCGTGTTCATTTGAGGCAGAAGACTTTTCTCCCATGAGATGGTAGAAAAGTTAGAAATAATTCAACCCTGGAGACACTGAGGAAAGTAGCACCCACCCAAAGCTTTGCGTGGAGGCAACCTCAACCCAAGGGAGATGTATGGTAGAGAATGGTGGTTTTGGGGTGGGAGGTGTGTTATTGCCTGCGCATCTCCACAAGTGGAGGGATTGGGTTGTAAGCCCTTCTGTGGACTTTTGGGAAAGTTCTAGTTCTTCTTTGTAAGGCTGCTTTAATGAGTTGACTGTTTTTCTCTTTCGTAGATTCCACTGTCTGAAAGAGACCCAGCTCCTCGTCACACCATGGTGGATGTGAAGTGTCTGAGGGACTATGAGTTACAGCATGAACTTAGTAAGCTCGGATTCTCACCTGGACCAATACTCCGTACGTATGAGGCAAACATCAGAGACTCGTCCTTTATTACTTACAAACTACCTCCCAAGATTTAAAATTATTTACAGCGGAAGGGACGTACACAACTAAAAAACATTAACATGGAAATAGAAAAAAAAATTTCTTAAAACGCAGAAAACCAGGACGCTTGGGTGGCTCAGTGGGTTAAGCCTCTGCCTCGGGCTCAGGTCATGATCCCAGGGTCCTGGGATTGAGCCCTGCATCGGGCTCTCTGCTCAGCGGGGAGCCTGCTTCCTCCTCTCTTTCTGCCTGCCTCTCTGCCTACTTGTGATCTCTGTCTGTCAAGTAAATAAATAAGTAAAAATAAATTAAAAAAAAAAACACAGGAAACCATAAAGAGGGAAGGAGTGAGAAATACACCCAGATTCTGTGCACAGGTCACTAAGTAGGTTGCCCGAGAGAAAGGATTGGTTTCTTCCAACGAGGAAAACCCGGTTACTCTTGGTTCTATCACCCTGTTGTTGTTTTTTTTTTTTTTTTCATTTCTAGTCTGTGCACTATGTTAACTTTATGTACTTATTGTTAATATTCCCCGTAGATAGGAAGTGCAGTTTTGTCAGTCTTACTTTTGGATATATCCAATGGAGACCTCACCTTAATTGCTTGTGGAAGGAAAGGAGTGCGTTGAGTAGCTGTGGGGTGGACCCGATTGTAAAGACCGCAATTAACCATGAAAGGTACAAGAATAAGGATCCCTTCCTGAAATACCGCGAGCGCAGTGAGATCGCCTACAGGAGCGGCATAGCTTAATCCGTTCTCCACCTCCTTCTTCAGCTTCCACCAGAGAAGTGTATGAAAAAAAGTTAGTGCAGCTGTTGGTCTCACCTCCCTGTACACCACCGGTGATGAATGGACCTGAGGGGCTGAACGGAGCTCAGGATGATGACGGCAGTAAAGGTACGATCAGAAGCTGTACTGTTTGATAACAAGTGTGGGCTTATTCATACCTGGTCTGGGATGCTCTATGCAGCTGGAAATGCTATGCAGGGTGACCTATGAATTGGCCTTATGGCCTGGGGAATTGGCCCCTGGGCCACAAAAGGAATCCATTATTCCATGGCTATGTTCATGCCAACAACTCCACTGGGTGGAAAGAGGGGGAAGGACTGATCAATTTGCAGGTCCTCTTATTAGCCAGAGCCAAATCTGTGTTTGATTTCTAAAACCGGGAGTTCCTACAGGTCGTTTTCCACATCTCCTTTGAGGCCCCAAACTCTGCTTTGCCTCAGTCAATAAATGGGACGATTATTTTCTTATGATTAAATGATTTCAAATCCATTCAGAAAGATGAACCAAACAGTACCTCCCAGAAGTCCTATGCCTACTGCCCTCCTGGCTTCATGGGAGCTGACCACAGCTCGTCTCCTCCGAGCTCCAGGGTAGGTGCAGAGCTGTGGTCTCTGGGATCTGGTGGGGGGCGGGGGGGGGGGGAGGGCTTCTGTTCCACTAGCCCCTCCCCCCACGGGCACCATTCTCCTGTAGGGGGTGGGCTCAGAGATTCCTACAATCCATTCCAAGGCTGTTTCATTCAGTAAATATTTATTAGGAGTCCTCTAAGAGGCACGGTAAAGTAATAGGAACTGCCATGCCTGGAAGGCCCCCCCCACCCCCAGTGCACTTCTGGCCTAATGTGCAAAATCTCATTTAACTCTCACAAACTTTTAGCTGACGTTCCGATAGGCAGAGTGACCGACCCAAAAATCGAATAGCTAGGACACAGCTCCAGAATGTGCCATGAACAGCAAGGTCCGTTGTCTCCGTCACCATTACACAGCCAGCTCCTGGAACATTCCCAGGCACGGAGTGGGAATGCAGGATGTGTTTGTTGAAAGAGGGTGACCGAACTGAGATTTGAACCCAGGTCTGGTTCTCATCATTGTGCTCTTGCACAAGCCTTACACTGCTCTCACGATCTCTACTGTGAGGACGAACACATTACCTTTTTGACTGTGTTTGACCTACCAAAAAACGGCAATTTCATACAGCTCAAGGGAGTAGTTGAACAAGTAAGATAAGTGCCTGGGGCCTTTTGAAAAATCTGCTGGTGATGCCTGGTATCGCCATAGCACAGTTCTGAGAGATTTCCCTAAGTCCTGCGGGGTCAGCCTCATTGGAAAGAGCAGCAGGGCTGGGGGACCGGACCCCATGGGCTCCTGAGCATACCCCAGGCCCTTTCTGCAAGGGGGATATGTTCAGAGTCCTGTCCCAGACCTGGGACTGCGGGTGTTTCCTGCCCTAGACAGGAGCTGAAGGGACTAGACCAGTTCTCTGATGAAATGGAGGGCCAGGCTAGAAGGTTCCAGAGAGGAAGGCTTGTGTCCTTACTGCTCACAGCTGCCCACGACGGTGAGTCAGAGCTGCACAGCCAAGCTGTGGTGGTCCCAGACCAAGCTCTCCTGCTTCCCAGCACGCAGCCCTCCACAGAGGGGCACGCATGCCCAGGCTTCGAAAAAAATGGGTCCTTCCGTTTGTAAGCTTTGCCATTACCTTACAGACTGTGTCCACCTGATGCCAGACACGTGCAGGCAGTTAGGTCAGAGGTGAAAGCTCTGGGTCAGTCCCTCCCTTGTCATGCAATTCTGCGGTGCCAGTGGACAGTGCTTAGGTCGGGTACGCAACGACTGCTTTCTCCGGGTCAGGTTTGAATCAGACATTTAAATCTGCTCATTGGAGGAGCCTCAGAGACCCCAGTGCCATTAAAATGAAGGGGTTGCCACAGGACTGATAAAGTCCTGGGGAGATTCCCAGAAACACCTCATCCTGGGTGGGGGGGTCACGGTGGGGAACGTGTGGCAGGGGCCAGTTCAGAGGCGAAGCAGTAGGTAACCCAGACAACGGGTGGATTTGATTTTTTTCTCATTTTCACTCATTGTTTTGGCACCAAGTGGACAAAGCTTTTACGGTCGAAACTCTTCTCCAGCTTCCCAGATATTTCTGAGTTGGAGGGCTCCTTTAAAATCCCCTCCAGCGGCTCTGCTCCGTATGCAACAGTCATGATTGCTGCAAGTTTATCAAAATGCTTCTCCACGGGCTGAGGCCAAGGGTTGATGAACGACCACCTTTCCTGCCCCTGGCAGTATCCCCGATGGTAAAGTCCTTTAGGGCAGGTCTGACCTTCCCGCCTCTGGGGGCTTCTTCCGACCTGGAAGGAGAAAGTCCTCCCGCCGACCTTGACATTCAGGGACTGGTGAGGCTTGCAGCTGGTTCAAAAGGTCAGTAACTAGACTGAAAACAGCCACCCAGAGGCGCGGCAGGCTGTGAGCTCCTGGAGTCATACAGACATGACAACCTTCCTGTTAGGAGCCCTCCCTGTATCCCCAGGGGAAGGCCGCAGAGCTTTGCACAAAGGCCACTGCAGAAATGCCCTTTGGCCTCAGTAGAGCAAAGTGAATTTTCTTCCCCTCATGAAATTCTTCTGCCCTACAATTGGGAGAATGCACCCCGATGACTGGTGTTTATTTCCTTCTCTAGCTCGTATGTTCTCATGGCCTATTCTCCTTTTGTTTTTCATGATCCAGAGCTTAATGCCACTATCATTTTGAAAGGAAATATCATTCTCTCATCAGAAAAAAACAAGGGACCCAAAAAAGTATGTACAATTCTAATGCATGAATACTTTTACCCATACTATATTAAACATAGGAAATAGCACTCCTCCTATGTATTAAGAAAGGAAATAGCAAAAATGACTACATTCTGTTCCAGCGGGAAAATCCTAGTTTACAATAGTTCACTGTAATGCAGGTTTCTGTCTTGTGAAACTATTGCCATGTTCTGGCTCAAGACCCAGAGTCACCGTCCTCCTGTCCCTCCCTGAGTTTGTGGCTGCCCTGCTTTGCCCTCCGACCGCCATTCCCCACCCCCACTCCCACCCCCGCCCCTTTCCCTGCCCCAGGGTCCACATTTGCAGGGAGCCCTGGGCACCCACCTTGAGCAGAAAATCAATGTGAGTTCCTGCTTCCTTCTCTCTCTCTCTCTCTCTTTTTTTTTTAAAGGATTCTTTTTTAAAGATTTTATTTATTTATTTGACAGAGAGCACAAGCAGGCAGAATGGCAGGCAGAGGGCGAGAGAGAAGCAGGCTCCCCAACAAAAGCAAGGAGCCCGATGGGGACTCAGTCCCAGGACCCTGGGATTATGACCTGAGCCAAAGGCAGCCGCTTAACCGACTGAGCCACCCGGGCGTCCCCCTGCTTCCGTCTCTTTTCCAGACACTGAGCTCTGGCTTCTATCCTCAATGCCGTGTTGAAGTTCACGGCCAAGTATGTGAAGGTCAGAGGTTTTGTCATGAGGTCTCACTGGCTTAGAGTCCTTCTTCCCCCGGCTTCGTCCTGGGGCTTCAGGGAAGTCACTTAACAGATGTCAACTCCTCATACGGCTTGATAGCTGGACCTACTTCATAGCGTGGGGCGAAGGGAAAGCTCTAGAATGAGGCACGTAATTAGTTCACATAATGAACTCCAAGATGCCAACCCCAAGGATTTTTCCAGTCTTCTGACCACTGTCCCTCCGTATTTAGAGACGCCTGTCTCTTTCCATTTTGAGGACACAGTGGTGGCTTGGTTCCTGATTCTGCCCTTCTGACAGTTTCCATTCTGACTATCTTCAGGCCCCTCAGGGAGATCTGTCTCAGGCCCCCTCTCCTCCTGCTCTGCATCATTTCCATTGCCCACCTCCTTCCCTTTGCCTCCTGTCCTCTTTCCACACAGAAGCCTCCACATGGGCCCTGTCCCCCGAGGCAGAGGCCTTCACATCCAGCCACTTCCCGGAGAGCTCTTTCCTTTGCTTTCCTCGTCTTTCTTTCCTTCATCCCCTCCTTCCTGCATTCATGCAGCAAATGTTACTTATAATGGTGATAGATTTCATAGACTTCATAGATTATACAAAGCGTATTTATTCCTCTCCCCAGGGTGAGCTCTATCTCCCAGCTCCTCCCACAGAGGACATCTAGGACCATGCTCATTTTCACTCACCCCAAACCTGCATTTGTGGCCTCTGTTCACCTTGATGCTCTCACCACCTTCCGGCGGTCCGGGCTCAAGGTCTCAGAGTTATTTTGGAACACCGATTGCCCCTCACATATAAAGAGTTGCCAGTGGATTTGAATTATGATTTTTAAAAATCCATGCCTCCTTTCTGCTCTCCTAGTTTGCATCCATATTACTCATGACCCTGAGATCAAGACCTGAGCTGAGATCAAGTCTGACGCTTAACCGACTGAGCCACCCAGGTGCCCCCATATTACACGTTTTAATTTTATTGGAACAATTGTAATATCCTCCTAACTGACCTCCGCCTCTAACGTTCCCTGATTCCATTTGACACATATGAGCAGGGTTTGGGCCGTCTCATTCACTCATCTGGAAACAAGGTACAAACTTACCATACAGCACGAGGAGACCCCAGTATCTCCCACATCCTCCAAATTCTTCCCTGCTTTCCCACCTCTCTCACTTCCTCCCCATGTGCTTTTGCCTCAACTGTTCCTTATGCCTGGCATTCTTTTCAGCCTCCAACCCCCTACTCCATCCCCTGCCCATTTTTCTTCTGGTTAAAATCTTGTGATTGTTTAAGGACCCGACTCCAAGGCCATGCCTGTGCATTCCCTTAAAATTGCCATCCATCTCCTTCAACAGCTGTCACGGGCCCTTGCACAGAGTAGGAGCCCAGAGTCACCCCAGTGCATCTACCAAACAGCTCTAGAGACAAACAGGTTAGTTTGCCAGCATAGCCCAGTACTGAGTACTCCTCGCTGAGTTTCAGTAAATGAGAAGGAAACGTGAAGTACACATTCCTGTAGCTTTGGTTTCCCATTAGGAAAGAATTTGAATCTGATGAAGTAATTCTGATAGCTTATCAAACATTCTAAAAGAATTTTTAAAATCTTCCAAATGGCTCATCAGAGGGATCCTTCCCATTCAGAAAACCTGTTGGCAGAACACCCCTTTGTCTAGTTCCTGCGCAGACACAGAGGGGAGAAAAAAAACCAACCTGAGTATTTGCAGTGCATGGGGATGGGACCGGAGCCCTTGGGTCTTTGCCTTCCGTAAACCTGAAATAAAACCACATCAATACTTTGAATTGGCAAGAGAACTCAATAGAAAGTTTGTGAGGCCCCAAATGTTTGGATCTGAAGGATATATAGAAGCCATTCTGATTCTCAGAAGGGCCTCAAGACATCTGTTCAACTTTAAATTCTGAAGTAAATGTAAATAAGCATTTAAATTTCCATGTAAAAGGTGGTAAAAAGTGAGTTTATGGAGTCCCTTGTCTAACACTATAGACTTCAACGACGTAAGAGCAGTGGTGTGTACCTAACTGTCCTGTGAGTAGCTGGAGAGGCAGAATTTGCGCTGTTTTGAAACACCAACAAGCACCTGTTTCTCTCTTATCCTAGTAGGGTTTCCAGCGGATACAAACCACTTTGAAATTTGGCTTATGTCCCTTTCCGGACGCTTTGTAACCCCGCACGTGCCTGTGTTTTAAGAAACCACATGCGCAGCCCCCTGCTTTGGCGATTAAGACCCCTCAGAAAGTCAGGCCAATGTATCTTTTTATTGGGGATTTTTTTTTTAATTTTCAGCATAACAGTATTCCTTGTTTTTGCACCACACCCAGTGCTCCATGCAATCCGTGCCCTCTCTAATACCCACCACCTGGTTCCCCCAACCTCCCAACCCCTGCCGCTTCAAACCCCTCAGATTGTTTTTCAGAGTCCATAGTCTCTCATGGTTCACCTCCCCTTCCAATTTCCCCCAACTCCCTTCTCCTCTCTAACTCCCCTTGTCCTCCATGCTATTTGTTATGCCCCAAAATAAGTGAAACCATATGATAATTGACTCTCTCTGCTTGACTTATTTCACTCAGCATAATCTCTTCCAGTCCCGTCCATGTTGCTACAAAAGTTGGGTATTCATCCTTTCTGATGGAGGCATCATACTCCATAGTGTATATGGACCACATCTTCCTTATCCATTCGTCCATTGAAGGGCACAAAACAGACAATCATATCAAAAAATGGGCAGAAGATATGAACAGACACTTCTCCAATGAAGACATACAAATGGCTATCAGACACATGAAAAAATGTCCATCATCACTAGCCATCAGGGAGATTCAAATTAAAACCACACTGAGATACCACCTTACACAGTTAGAATGGCCGAAATTAGCAAGACAGGAAACAACCTGTGTTGGAGGGGATGTGGAGAAAGGGGAAAACCCTCTTACACTATTGGTGGGAATGCAAGTTGGTGCAGCCACTTTGGAGAACAGTGTGGAGATTCCTCAGGAAATTAAAAATAGAGCTTCCCTATGACCCTGCAATTGCACTACTGGGTATTTACCCCAAAGATACAGATGTAGTGAAAAGAAGGGCCATCTGTACCCCAATGTTTATAGCAGCAATGGCCACAGTCGCCAAACTGTGGAAAGAACCAAGATGCCCTTCAATGGACAAATGGATAAGGAAGATGTGGTCCATATTGAGGATTTTTTTCATCACATGAACTCGGGGCACAGCGGGTGCCTCCTGTAATGGAGAAGGCAGGAAAGCCAATGTGTGTAACGCAAGCTCTAAGTCCCGCCCACCAAAGAGGGCGAAATGGGATTTGGGGTGCTGGGGAAGCAGAATGATCTGCCACATCAGGCTGCCTAGAGTGGCCTCGGAGTAAGGTGACCCTGTCATTTACACCCCGCACAGGATGCTTTTGAGACGAAAGGGGACACTTCTAGAAGGGACGCTGGAATAACGGGAATCCAGCAGGACGGTCCTGGCAAACCAGGGCATCTGGGCACCCTGGGCTTAGGAGTGGTTCCAGGGGTCGGGGGGGGGTGTCTACACATGTACTCCCAACTCTGGACAGCTGCTTGTCCAACCCCCAGAGGGCTGCTGGGCCCGGGAGCTGTGTGCTCTGCAGCGCTCCTGGCCCCTTCTGTGTCTCCTTGTTCCCTCCCAGACACGCATGCTCAGTGCTGCCAGCATCCCGGTTCACTGTTCTCCCAGCGCAGAAAACTCTCTGCTCAGTCTTGCCACCTATGCTACACATTCCACTGGGAACTTCTAAAAATGAGTTCCATGAGTCTGGGCCTCGCAGTCTGCCTTTCTGTCCTCCCCGACTCCCACCCTCTGCCTAAGAGCTTTGGCTTCAGGTTGTAAAACCCCGACCATGGAAACCTACAGTCTTTGAATGCTCTGCATTGAACCCGGTGCCAGGCCTACGGGGAGAGGGGGAGGGAGCTACTCAGTCTTTGAGCTACTCAGTCTTTGTTGGCTGAACCCAAGGAAACCTTTTCTCTATATTGGTGTGGACCATCTCCCTTTCTCTGACTTCCCATTCTGTACCATCTCTTTTGTCTCTTAGACATACCTTAACGTTTTCTCCTGAGGCACAATGCTTAGGGCCCTGTGAATTGATGACCACCCAAGGAATGGTTGCAACAGATTTTCCACCCCTGGGTCTCAGCCTGTGAATTAACAGCTATTTACCTATACTGGGCATTGTGCTAGAACTTTCTGAGGAAGAGAATAGGTGCTCAAGGTGCCCTGGAGGAGCTTAAAAACGAGCTCTGGAAACAAAGAATGTGTGTATTAAAAATCTGGACTCTAGAGCCAGACTGCCTGGATTCAAATCCCAGCTCTGCCACTGACCTAGACAGGACACCTGACCTCCCTGTCTTCATTTCCTCATCTATAAATCAGGCTCATAAATGGTCTCAACGTCATAGCGTGTCGCGAGAATGAAGTTAAAATATGTGAAACAGAGTAGAGATGCCACACAGTAAGAGCCACATAGGTACAATAATAGCTAGTATTATCATCAGTACGATCATAGAAAAAACATGATATTTAATTATCTACAAAATAAAGCAAACTACTTAGTGGAAATAATATGATGGCAACTGAACGTCAGTATTGAACTCCTAAGTGCTACAGAGAAGGGTTTTTCAGCGTGCCCACAGGTATATTTATCGAATTAAATATACAGATGTAATTAAAGATTATTCTCTATATCAGTGCTGTGTGTTGAATGGGGCAGAACAACCTTTGAAAAAAAAGTCATATGTGTCCTCCTTGTATATAAGGACGCCTTCTTAATCTATGCTAAATCCTTCCCCTGCTTTTTGAAACATTGAAAAAATAATTTATTTACTTTTAAAAGATTTTATTTTATTTATTTGACAGAGAGATCACAAGTAGGCAGAGAGGCAGACAGAGTGAGAGGGAGAAAAAGACTCCCTGCGGAGCAGAGAGCCCGATGCGGGACTCGATCCCAGGACCCTGAGATCATGACCTGAGCCGAAGGCCGAGGTTAACCCACTGAGCCACCCAGGCGCCCGAAAAAATAATTTATTTTTGAAAGGATTTCAAACTGAGGGACAGTGGCAGGATTGGTAGAAAGAAATCCTAGATTGCTCTCCCCCAGATTATCCAGGGGTTAGCTTTTACCACCTTCACTCTGTGCGCGTGTGCACGCACGTACATGTACGTGTCCACACACGCCCTACCATTGTCTTTGAACCGTTCGAGGGTCCACTGTAGACAGGAAGCCTCTCAGCTCCCCTGCACGTCTTCTGCTACCCCCAAAGGACACCATCCTCCGTAACCACCATGTGGTGCTCCGAAGAGAGACATTCACACGGATTCAATGCTGCTGTCTAATAATCAGACCCCACTCAGATTTCACCAGTTGTCCTCGAAATGTCTTTCTGCTTTCTGGTCCACGACCAGTCCAGGGGCACACTTTGCCTCTCAGCAGCCTTCTTCAGTCTGGAGGAACAGTGCCTCAATCTTTCCCTGTCATCCTTATCCTTGACTGTTTTAGAAAGTACAGGCCTTTCATTCTGTCTGATTTTTCCTTTTGACTATTCAGAGAGGCTTTGCATTCTGGGCAGAAATACCTCAGACGGGGTGCTGTGCTCTTCTCAGAGCATCACACCAGGGAACAATGTCATCCTGTCCCACTGCCGGTGACGGCAACCTAAATCACCTGGGAAAGTTGGCGTCTGTCAGATTTCTCCATAAAACGTCATTTTCCCCCTGGTAACCGATCCGGCTTTTGTGGGGAATTATTCTGAAATGATACCAACATAGTGTTTCTCATCAAACCTCATCCATTGTCCCCAGCACCCATGGATGACTGCCTGATTCCGCCTCCATTATGATGATGGCCCATTAAGATTTGTTATGTCTAGGGGCACCTGGCTGGTTCAGTTGGTAAAACATGTGACTCTTGACCTCGGGGTTGTGAGTTCAAGCCCCATGGCAGGCAGAGAGATTACCCCCCCAAAAAAAAAAAAAAATTAAAAATAAGGATAAAAAGATTTTCTCTTTCTATCCTTCCTTCTGTATTTTTTAGTTGACATTCTACCATAAAGAAGAGCTCCCCTTCTCATTCATTCGTTCGTGTATATTAGCATGGGCTCGTTGATTCCTTTTGACCCATAGGTTGTATTCATTGATATCATTTTAATGCTCAAATTGTTTCATTTTGGCCTGTGGGAGCCCCCTTCAAAACGTGTACTGTGTCCTTTTAACAAGTCCTCATTATTCCTTGAGGATTTTCTTAATTTCCGGCGCAAGAAGTTTCAGTCCCTTCTTATGCTTTCCCTGCCCTGGGAGCCTTGGTTCCTTTCATTGCAGGGTGGGTTTTGGAAACCAAAATCGAGGCATTTAGGAAGCTCATTGCTCCTGGGGAGTCGTGGCTTCCAGGC